AGAGCAGTTGCCGTACGCTGGCTCCAAGAGACATTTTTGCCCACAATTTTCTACCCGTTTGCATTCAGATGTCATCACTTACATTGGTTACAGAGAGGTGGGAAGACTGTCTCTCAGAAGATCATTCTACTCTCTGCTGAAGTTGCTCTATACCAGTGGGGGCCAACCTCTTTGGCAGGGGTACCACAAATTAGCCTGAAATGGTGCTCTGCTCCCTTTCCTCTGCCCAACCTGTTGCTCTACTTTATTCTCCCTGCCCTAGGCTTCTGCCTGATCTGCTTGTGCTTTCTGCTTCCTACCCATTTTGTTCCTGTGCTTACTGTCTCCTTCCTGATCTGCCACAGACCCCACACAGAAGCTGCCCATGCCCCTTGAGGCACAAGTGCCATAGGCTGGCAACCCCTGCCTTGCCCCCATGCCACATCTGATTATAATGCAGTTCCACTTTGTCATTTACATGGGAACTTAACCATATTTGTAAATGGTCCTAAGGAACTGGACCACGCAAATAAGCAGTCCTAGCGAACCCCAAATCCTACATGTGCAGCACTCTTCACAGATCCACCTTTGCTCTCTAGTGGTACAGAATAAACTCTGACAAGGAAATCCAACCATTTAGCACACAGATCTGCTTACATGGCAAATGTTTGCAGTGCATTCTGGTAAGCTCCCATATCAGACTGAAGTAGCATAAAGACTATCTCTGGACCACACCTATTTCATTCATACAAATATATTTTTGAATTGGTGGCATAAGAGTATTGGGAGCTATGTCCCTCTACCTTGTATGTCTGTAGGCAGCCTGACATCCTTGAATGTCCAAGGAATAGCATGTTCTGCTCACTGAATACAGGAGAAGTTCAGTTTGCAACCTTACAGAGCACAAAGCCTCTTTCAGGAAAAGACTAGCAGAGCGAGAGAATATCCGTCAACTTCTCTAACACGTAAGACTGAAATTTCAGTGTTAAATGGGCCGTCCCTGTCTTTATAATCTGCATTCCAGGACCGATGGGATCTACTTTCTGCAGGGCAAAACATCAACACGCACTTCCTCCAAAGTTTAATTCTACAACTTGTCTAACATATTTACCAATTATCTGGAAAAAGAGGAGAGGCGGCAAAATCTGCAAGGACATAAAATACTAATTAGTAAAGATCGACAAATTTCAGAGGACCTAGCACAAGCAGGTGAATGGGCCTTACAGCTGCATCCAGACGAGAGTGGCCATGCAGTATGTGGTGCCACAGACCCATTCCAGCATTTCCTGCACTGCTACCTTGCAACATGGGAGGGTTTTTTTTTTGACCCCTGGACATCCAGGGGTCAAAAATCCCATGCAGAAAAAAAGCAGGGCAGCGCACATGGCGACAGCACATGCCACCCAACACCGGAGCCTCGCCGGCCAGAGTCCAAGCTGCAGGAGTGACGTAACTGCAGCTTCCCCGGCCCCCAAGTAAGACTGCTAGGGCCAGCAACTGGGCTGGCCCCATCCTCCCCTGGGGTAATCTGCTGCACACCAGAGGGCATGTGGCACAGGTGTTCCCTGGGAACAACTAGCAATGGCACTAGGCATCCTGCTGCTAGTTTTCCCTGGGGAACCAAACGTCCGCACTCACCTGGACATGGCCTACCATGGCAAATGAAGCAAAATGTTAGGATGCATCGAGAAAGGGGTGGAAAATAATAGTGGCAATGCTATAAATTCATGATGCAGTTCAGTGGGGAGTCCTCAACTTAGGTTGAGGACTCCCAAGGAGATGAGCTGTCTCACATGCTTTATATTAAGTAAGTACGTGAGCGCTCCCCTGGATTGGAGCCAGCACCCAGAAGGGGAGCAAGCTTTCAGGACTGTGTTTACCAGTGCTTCTGGTTTCCTGTGTGTTAAACAAGATGTAGCAGAAACAGAAGTTCAGGAAAGCAGGATGAAAATAAAAGGGATAAATTCCTCTGGACACCATTTGATATGATTATGAGTTTAGTTTAGTGAAAAGATGAGCAAGGAGGCATGAAAGTATACAGAATAAAGAATAGTATCAAAAGGACAAATGAAGTACTCCTATTGCCCCTTTGTCCTAATATAAAAAGGGGACATTCAAGGAAATTAAAATGCAACCAATTTAGCAATGCTTTCCATTACGTTCCACTGAAAGGCCTCCTGAGGTCTCCTCCGAGTTATCTGGTTCTTGTCTTCTCTGAAGACAGGATACTGGAATGGATGCTGGTGTGATCTGGCAATCCATTTGTTTTTGTTTTCCCTTTCAATGTATGCTTGAAGAGAGATGTTCTGTGAATTGTGTCAACTGCCAGTAAATCTTTATTGCCCAATAAGAACAATTTATGTATGGTGATGAGCTGATAGAGCTTTGTAAACTCCTTAAAACTAGACGAACAGGATTCTGCTCGCAGGAGTTCGGTGCGCTGGCAGGGTGACAGCCATACCCACAAGTGTCGCAAGACAAAGATGGTCGAAGATTTCCCAGGGTCTGTCAATACCATTCTTTATTTTTCCCAGTACTATTAATCTCTAATACCAATACAAATCTAATCGCAGTCAAAGTAGTAACTGTATTACACCCCAGCTCTAGGACACAATGTTTTGGCAGCTGTACAATTTAAAAAAGTTGGGAGACCAGAAACAAAACAACTGAACCTCTGAAGAGATTAAAATGAAAACAAAGAAAATGAACCTTAAAGGCCTGAAACAACCTCTCCCCCAGCCAGAATAATGACAAAGAAACTCCTTCTCTACCTCCTGGACAATTCAAACAGACTTGGTGATGCACATGCCTTTGAGCTAAGAGGCCTGTGACCCTTTCCATATGATCTCAGACACCAGCAGGACAAACAAGCTCTCTCTCAGACTGTGCCCTTGAACTTGGTTGGGTTATGAGACTACCAGTCCTCCATGCTCTTTTTCCCCACTGTCTGTTTCCACACTACCCATTTTTCTCTTCTTTCCCTTCCCCTTCTTTCCTCCTTTCAGGCAGTTCAAATGTCACTTGTCCATTCCCTTCTCTGCCCGTGACATTACACAAACTAACCTTTGTTAAACAAACCAGTTTCGTTTCGGTAAGCCAGCCACCTGGAACACAGCAAATAAGGCCGGTTTCCAGGGGAGCCAATGCCCTCCACACCACGTTGTATAAACAGGCTGTGAGCACGGCAGTGGCAACAGTCATCAGCCACCTGGCCCCTTGTCTGCACCTGCTCTCTTGCCACTGCCGGCATGCGCACTTGCCCGGGCACGTGCATTGGAGGCACAGTTATGCCAAAAGCTCTCCTGAACTGACAGATGGAGAGGTGCCGACCAGAAGCCAAGGAAAGGCTCTCTGGCTGCTGTCTTGTCTTCTGCCCAACTTCAGACCCACGCAGCTAACGACGTCTCTCTGACAATAACCCTACTTACACCGCACAGTTTGTATTTCGAAACCAGCTGCTTGAAAAACCACATTTAAGGAAGGAATGTGGAGCTAGAGATGTTAGGAAAAATGGTGCAAGTTTGAATTAAACCTGAGCTCCCACAATAAAACCTGTTTGGAGAGGGCAACTGTCAGTTCAGGGCTGAGCCCTTGTTGATCTTTCACTCTGACGTTTTCACGTTGGCCCTGCAAAATCCTTGTACAGTTATTAGACTTCACACACAGAGGTGGGTGCAAATTTGAGTCCTCAATTCACTCAGTTGCTGAATTCAGTAGCAAAGCTAGAAGCCGTTGACAAGATTAGAATCAAGAACATAGAGCTTGTGTGGTTTATCTGGGGCAACGGCAAGGGGCTCGAGGAGGGGTGGAACAAAAGGACATTTTTGCACCTTGGTTCACTAACTAGTGTCAAATTCAGCACAAATAGAAGCCCTCACATTTTGATTGGTTTGCTTTTCGGTATTCAGCCTCAAAAGTCTTTTTCTGTTCTTCTCACCCTGACTAGCTACGAATGTAAGAGCACCGGATAGCTCTGACAATTAGATTGCCTCAGAAAGACTAAACCAACTGTTGACTCAAAGCCCGAGAGGCTTTGTGTTTACCCACTTCTGACGCTGCCCCAGATTCGGAGCTGCTCCAGCTTGCACTTGGCGCAGCTCAGGAGATGCATGCAAAGGTGGCTGGCTGCGCCCCCTCGATGTCAAGGGCAAACAAGCGTCAATACGACACGCAGGCTGAAGGCCTCAGGGGGCCGCGCGGGCAGCTGGGCACTCCTGGAGCGCAAGCGCGGCCTGGCTGGTCTCCTTTCCCCTGGACGCACCCGCACAGCCGCAGGAAACGGCCCTCGTGCCTGGCAGCGGTGAGGCGCCCTTCCCGGAGGGCAGCTCCCAGGCAGGAAGTCCAGCCGGGTCACCCGGGCGCGTGGTCTGTGGCACCGCACGGGCCGACGCCGCTACCTGGCGTGTTCGACCCCGGGCCCACTGTCCACCACCGGGCCCCGGCCTCCCCTGCCAGCAGGGTGGTCCCCGGCCTGCCCGGGAAACGCTCTGCCAGGCGGCCGCACGGCGCAGGGCGAGGGGCGCGCGGCCCCGGCCAGGGGGTCGGCCCGCGTGAGCGAGCCAGGACTGCGGAGGTCCCGCGCGGCGGCTCATC